TTTGTCACTGTAACCTACGCCTCCGCGAAATAGAGTGCTGATTCGGTGAAAGATGACTTCTGTCACCACCGGTTGGTGATCTGAAGGCCCAGGTTGGAAAACTATCCACTAATGAGCTGCATCCGGGCGGCCAACACGGTGTACGCTCTCGTAACGATAACGGCGAATGGTTGTTACACCAGTTTCTCGAGAGCATTAATTTCCGACACAGCACCCGCCTACCAGTCTTGGACCAGCCATGCACGCAAACAGATCACATCGCGATCAGCTATCGTTGAAGAGATTTTGTCCAAAACTGTCGCTCGATTTGGACTACGAGCGTGGACCAGACCACACACTTGTATGTGCCGATCTCCGACTTCGCTTCAGCGGACGCATGCGACGACGCTGTGGGCGCATAGGCAGCAGCCAACTGGCGAAGCCAGGTGTTTTGGTAGTATTTCAAACTGCGCTGGCATGTGGGTTGAGTCAGTATTCACTGATAACATTTGAAGATCACTGGTTGCATGTCCGCCAGATGTTATTAGCAGCAGGCAAATTTTTATGCAGTAAATATGATTGTCAACCCCGACATTTGGTCTCTGCGCAGTCTATAGAATTTCTAACTGCTCGCCGGCACATTCCGACCGGGAGCGAACACGAGACTTGCAAAGAAGTCAGGGCATAACTGCGTATTAGGCTGATTAGTGGCTGCGATACCTGTTAGTACCACCTTGCGTCGGAGATGGAAATGGCTGCTACCGTTGGTAACCATCGTAAGTTATTCAGTCTGATACGGGCAACAAGCAACAGGAGACGTGGTGTTAGCGAGACCATGCGACGAGATTGGACAACCCATTCACAGCCTGTCAACACGTTTGGAGCGTTGGGCTGAGCACTTTGAGAAGCAATTTATTTGGCCGGAACTAGTAGACTTGGTACCGATCAGTAACCACCCTACTCCTTCGGATGCTCACTTGGATCTGACCTCACGCGCAGAAGTCGAACGTGACCTCAGTGTTGAATTGGAATAAGGCCGTAGGAAGACATAGGCTTCTTCCAGCTATCTTCAAATTCGGGGAATCTTCTATCTTGGATGATTTCTACAACTATTGAAGCTGTGCGAGCAGCAGATTATCCAAACATATCATAATCCCGATTTTCAAGGAATTGGTTTGCCATCGTAATGAGAATGGGCGGAAACCGAAAGACGTGCTGCAGTTTGCGGAAACGGTACTAAGTAGCAGTTTGCTAATCGGCAGTCTGTCAAGGGTGAAATATTTGACTTTGAAGAGTAAAGGATATGCCAATAATGTGAAGTGGAAACGTTAAGTGTTTCGTAATGTAAGTGTGTAAATTTCTATAAGGATATATGTGTTTGCGAATAGGAACATCATGTCCTTAACTAGGTAATCCAGTTTGAGTGAATAATCAAAGTTTACTTTGGATTTAACACGGGTCCTAAAAGAATTTGCTGTGCGCCTGTTGACACGATTGTGCGCTTTTGTGCTGGAGAGCAATGGTCGGCACTTGTTTGACAGAATCGATCGCCATTGTCTGTAAGGCGTAAATCAACCCCGAGGCGGCCATCTCGGTATTTTTCCTCAGGTGGATAAGAGATAAAGTCTGATTATAGGCATCTTTGTTTTCCTTCAAAGTGCAGTAAAAGGGGGCATAAACAGAAAAGATGAACGCGCTTTGTCTTGAGACGGCGTCTATTAGGCACAACAGAGATTCGAAGCCGGTCGACAGAGCCGATACTACTCTCTGTCCGTCCATTTCGAGAGTTTTTCGAAGCGCCCTATCTTTACTCATTAACTCAACAGTCTGACCCACAAGACAGTGGGGCGCATGGGTATTCGCTTGAGTGATTCCACCAGGAGCCTTCAGCTCAATAGCCTGACCCGAAAGGCAGCGGCGAACAAGTCCAGCTCGGGAGTTTGATTGCAGAGACCGGTTGGGATCCGCTCGAGGCCCATCACACACAACCTTTGAGGATTTGGAACAATTCACGTGTTTTACGACCGTACTACGTTACGCACCTGCGACCATGGTCAGGCGCAGATGGGAGTTGGCGGGTTTGTACCAATTTGAACAGGATCTGCGTAGTTTGAGGTAGGCGGTAGCAAACCACTGAGCATCGGGCGGTGACCTCCCACCGTCAGAGACAATGCGTGGCGTTCATGCTCTACGCTAATCGAGCTGAATGTTTACAACCCGTAGACCTGTTATCTTCCATGGCTACGTCTTTAACCTTGTTAGATGATTGGATTGAGAGACTGAGTTAGTCTGACTCCTAACCATTGACCTGTCTGGTATGAGTGGTTCTAAAAGCACCTGGAAAGTGCCATCCAATGTAGCTCAATAGATCATGGGAGTACGCAAATCTTTGCAACATGTTAAGTCCCAATTTCGTTACGATGGATCAGCGGAGATGGCGGTCCGTGCCAATCTTGGAGTAACGCTTTGCACTTCGATGGTGCAAGGCAAAGCCCGAAACGGCTATCAGTCAATGCTAATCTGTCCAGTGCAACTTGGCAAGTGTGGGAGCAGTCACAAACGAGGGCAATGGCGTCAACATAATCTAATTCAAGAGGCCGATTACCTGGGAGCACCTCCACATCTTATAAGTCGTGTCATGTGAACGCGAGCTCCATGACTTCGTCAATAGCGGTTGAAGAGGAAAGCTGACAGCAGCCATCACTGTTTTACACCGCTGGAGATATTGAAGGGCACCGACAGTCTGCCCTAAGCCCTCGCTCTGCCCGAGCTACGCGTGTAAAGCGCCCGGATAATCTTAACATATTTCTCGGGCACACTTTCTTGAGTACAGTCCCAAAGGGCCCATCGATCAACCGAATCGAAAGCACCTTTGATGTCGAGGAACACGACTACAGTGGACCGCCAATATATGTGACGGTGCTCCAACAACTGACACAGTGAAGATGTGACCTCGACGAAACCCGGATTCCTTTTCATGAATCTGGCTTTCAGGAGTGCCAGTCAGTCAGTGAAGGATGACAGAGGCAAGCCAGTTAGAGGCGATGGAGATCAGACTGATTCCACTAGTCTGATCTCCATCGCCTCTAAATTGCTTGCCTCTGTCATCCTTCACTGACTGACTGGCACTCCTGAAAGCCAGATTCGTGAAAAGGAATCCGATTACCATATTCCCATCGGGAGTCTCCCTTGAAAATAGGGACTATGACGGAGTGGCTGCAGTCGGTTGAAACGGTTTCCTGCTCCCACAGTTTCACTAGTAACTCGTGTAACTCAGCAACAAGAACAGGTCCCCGAATATGAACAGGGCTGTAGAAAGACCGTCTGGTCCCGCGGCCTTATTTAACTTCAACAGTCCGATCTCAAGTTCTACTTCTGAGCAAGAGGGGTTATCCAAAGGGACAGCCCATGGAGCAGGTCGATCATTGGCCGGCGAGAAATCTGACAATTTCGACCGATTTAATTGTCTTTAAAAATGCTCAGCCCAACGCTCCAAGCGTTTTGACAAGTTGTGGATTGGCTATCCACTATCGTCACAAAGAGTTTCATCAACATCAATTCTCCTGCTACCCGTTTACCGTATCAGAAGGAATAACTCCTAATGGTTACCAAGGACAGCGGCCACTTCCATCTCTGACGCATGATGCAACTACTATGATCCCTGGTCTCTTCAGGCTAGCAAGCAGTTTTGCCCTGAGTTCTTTGCGAGTCTCATTGTGTTTGTCTCCAGCCGAAAAGTGCCAGCGAGCATCGATAATTCCAGAGATTGCAAAGATACCTAATGTCCATGTTGGCTATTAGATTTACTACATGAGGATGTGCGTAGGCGAGTGCTGGGCAGCGATAACCGAGCTAGTTCTTTATAACACAAGATTGCGTTGGCTTGGGAACGTACTACGTACGCCTGACCACCGCTTAGCGAGGATGGCCTTGCTGTGTTCGCCATGTGTAGGGTGACGCAAGGCTCGTGTCGGGATAAGATCAACTTGGCAGAGAGAAATGAAGTCACTGACCACAAATCTGGATGCCGTTAGCCTGTCTCATCTTCCAGGCTTGAGTCCACGTGACCCGCTTTGTGTTTGGTTCGAGATTTTACAGGACATGACTCGCAGTCGGCACCAGCGGTTCATCCGTTATAGTCTCGTAGTCGGACTGTCTGTTTACAGTGTGTTTGGTGCTGAGTTATGTGCGGGGTAGTGGCTGATTATGACACGGGGCCGAGAAAGCCATAAGGAAGCTGTCTCGCCGAGGCCGCATTATCTTTGCACGATAGCTAGCTGTTTGTGACGGTAGGTTGTTGTCAAGGTACAGGCGCCTTGACTCGGAATGTTTGCTTAGAACATTCAGGTTTTACGGTAGGTCCCTCTTCTCTCCCTGTTATTATTCTTCGGTTCGCAGACTACCAGTGAAGCAGACAGCAGTGAAGCATCAGTCCAAATAGTTGATGTAATGCTGTTGATGATGATCATTTCCATGGTAAAATTAATTTGTTATCACATCCGTTTGAGCTTGTACGGTTAATTTCATTATTGTGTTGTTTCCTTTAGTTATCCCAGTTCTTCAATCACAGTGGGTGATATATACCAGCTAGGTTCAACGGACCTTGATACAATCAAACCAGTGGAGTTCAGGATGGGCGGAGCTTACATAGCTTAAGCTGGCCATGGATTTTGACTGAATGTCGCGGACAACAAAGAGGACAGAAAGGAACTGCCCCGATCGGCGGCGAATGATATCGAACGTTATACACAAATGATACAAGGTTATCTGTGTGCGAAAATGCGCATAGAACAGGTACATCATTTTAACCGTGTAAATGATCCGGCTACTATGAATGAGAAGCGGTGGAGACCCCCTAGGCAAAAAGTAGTGCGTGAAAGCAATAAAGCAAGCAAAGTGAAGTCACCTTTTCTCCTAAGCTGCTCGATTGTGATATGAGGGTAAATTCTGTCATACAACCAAATCATGTGGTTGCCGCTTCGGCAATCGGGTAGGTAGCATTCGTATGAGATAAGACTCACGTGAGTCGATCTGAACGCTGGGTCAATCGATCCAGGCTCTCGGTGGCCACATGTGCTTTGTTTGTCTGCGCCCCGTTGACGGAAATCCGAGACGCATGAGAGATGCCAGAGGAGAGGGGAGGTTCATGAGATGAGGATAGGGGCCGTGGGAACTCGCCTGATGCAGATGTGATGTTAGCGAATGGATCGGTTAGTGTGGAAATAGGGATGAACGCGGTGACGGGAAACGGATTGTTGCTGTTATCTTCCTTACTGGGCGCGAACTGGGCGTGAACCGCCTTGGGGGCAAACATAGAAAAAATCGAAAATGTAGTCAGTGGTGAAAAAGGGAAAGTACAACTTGAAATATTATGCGCAGCGGTTATTAAATTTTGAAGCTGTGGTGCACTATGTTTGCGTGTTCAGACAGCTTTTTCTAACACCTCCCCAGAGTTAAGGGTGGCAAAAACTGACAAAAGTCTAAGCAGGGCACTTATTAGGAAATAAGATTTCTACACGATCGGAGACAGATGGGTAGGATTCTCACGACAGCTAAATCTCGTGTCTGTGGGCTTGCGATCCGAAATTAAAAACCTAATCCCCGATTAATTCATCGCAGATGCATGAATATGTGGAGATTGTTGCAAATCGCAGGCTACATAGGGAAAATTTTTCCAGAGTGAATCACGATTAGAGAGGAGTTCAAAAAAATATTGTGGAATACGGCCCACTGGATTGTCCACAAATGCTCGAGGCTACCAACAGTTTAGGAACTTTTGGTTCTGTGGACCTTCAACTTCTAGAAGCAAGAAAGAGGGAAAATGGAGACGATGAAGATTATTTTGGTCAACGTGCGTTGAAACCCATCATGAATTGGTGTGTGAGATAGTTTGCATACGCCTCAGTGGCTGTGCTACGGCCAAACAAATCCGTCTGAACACCCACAAGTTGGAGGACCCAACGGTGAAAACGCAGTATCAAAAGAGGCTTCGTGAAATTCTTACTCTCTTGTCTGGATGTTGATCAACACGGGTCAAGTTTGTCGCAATCCATGCTGTACGGCTGCTTGTCCAGCTGCAACCTTACTCGCTGCACGCCCAAAAGCTTGATTTCGATACGGTCTTCTGAACTGCTAGATCGTCGACTGGTTGTGTCTTCCTGTGCGGAGCACAATGAACTTTATCAGTCTACCTCTCAGCAGCTGAAGCCAAGTCTTCGGTCTGGCCGCGAATGCTTGTGGTCAAAAGGAGTTGCTGATATGGAAGTCGCTGCATCGGCTGGAAACTTTCGCTGTTTATTTTAGCAGGACAACTAGTCGCAAATCATATGCTATCAGTTATACAATTTGTGAGTCGGACGGCAGGAAAATCACCAACTTGCACACGCGCTTGGGCCGCAGGGCAGAACACTTTGCTTTCCAATTTAACTACTCAGAACAGCCAACTCTCACACCTCCGTTTCCCTCGGCTGGTGCTTGGCCGTTCCCGACAGCTCCTTCAACCGAAGCATAGATCCGAAGCGCAAGCCAATTTTTGAAACATCATAAAGCTCCCGTGCCTGACGACTTGCCCTCGGCCCTATAAAAATACCCTTGTGCAATACACTTGTCAGGGAAATCCTGTCACTGTCCACGAAGGTTTGAACTGACGAAAGTTCCAGTTGCATGGGGAGAATCGGTCATTGTTCCGATTCACAAGAAAGGCTCCGGCACCAATTAGCGCGGACTTTCGTTGGCCTACGTTACATCTAAGATTATGAAGTCACTCCTACTCCGCAGGCTTTCAGCGATTAGAAACAGCGTTTCTCGAGAGGAACAAGGCAGTTTTCCTCCAGGCGAAGGTTACATCGACCAAATCTTCACACTCTACAAACTTCTTGAACTCCGTCACGTCCACCAACGGCCAATAATCGTAGTTCTTGGATATCGGAGCAGTATTTGACTCAGTAGATACAGCTGCATTGCGGAACTGTCCATAAGGAAATGTGTGCCTGACAAGTTTGTAACCATCCTAAAGAAAATCTAGCTACACCTCGGTTAAAGTAAGGGCTTACGGCAGGCATTCGTTACCGTTTGCTGTCAGCAGCGACGTTCCCCAAGGTTGTCCTATTTCACCACTTCTGGTCAATTTTCTATTGAAGATGTCGTCAAAAGAGCATGGGAAGGTGTCCAAAACTGAGGTGTTGAGCTTCTCCCGGATGATAGAATCGCGGGATTGGACTACGCAGATGATATCATTTTGCTAGGGGACGATCCATAAGCCGTCTAGAGCGCTTTGAACCGCCTAGCGATGGAGGCGTCTAAGTATGGCCAGTATTTCACCCCAGACAAGTGTAAACTGCTAATCCGGGATTGACAGATGCCTGTGCCTGCCGGTGACGTCTTAACAAGTCCCATGCTTCACTAATCTGGGAAGTTGCGTCACAGCTGGCGGCAGTGTTGGAGAAAAGGTCTCACAACTGATCGTGCAATCGTCCGACATACACCGATGGCGTCGTCGCAATGTCAGTTTCAAGCCCAAGGGCAGGATGCGCACCGACTCTGTCCGTGCAGTCCTTTTGTACAGCTGTGAGACCAGGCCTATTCGCTTGGAAGACATGAAGCGATTGTCAGTTTTTCACAATCGTTGTTTGCATAGGATTGCACGAGTGTGGTGGTTACAATACGTAAACAATACAGAAGTCCGAGTACTTTGAGCAAACAGCTCAAGCCTCCAACATTATCCACAGACACCACATGCGTTGGCTAGGCCACGTAATACGCATGCCAGCCAATCGCCTTCCACGTAGAGCGTTATTTACGCTTTCAGGAGGGGGCCGAAAAAGCGCCACCATAGGCAACCAATGAGGTGGAGAGGGAACATAAAGAAGGCAACCTAAAGCTTAGCATCCGTCTGACCGGTCCGCTTACTAGGATGGAAACCACGCGACTCTGACTCTTAGTGGCTGTAAACATTGGATATTATGGTGCACAATAGACATCGGTGACGATAGTGTTGTTCAACCGCGTCATCTATATTAATGTCTAATCAAAAACAAAATCTCCATACGAAAGAAACTCAAAATATCGTATGAAAAACTCAAACTTCGTGTCCTTTAGCTAATGATTTTCACTATTTTCTGTCATGCTGATAATGGCACATTACCTGTAACCAGACTGTGGATATACTGTAACAAAATCTCTGAAGTTAATCACCACAATATCCTGACTACCATACTAATTTGACCGGCTATTTTTTCACTGCTTGGACGTTCACCACGTAAACCCAATGGATCCAAACCACTGTATGTTGATCATCTTTCTAAGTTGGCCACTTTGGTCCAGTCCATTGAGGTTCGATATTCACTGCTTTGTTCAAAAAAGAAAGAGAACTTTTCATGTAGCGAACCAACCAGCAGAGGTAGCGCGCTGCGGCTACTGCGCGAATGAAGAGGCATATACAGAAACAAACTGTCATCTGCCGCGCTTCATTCTAATTGTTAGATGGCGACCTACAGCTACTGAACTAAGCCCTTGCACAAGCTTCTCGTCGGATTAGTGTCATGATCACAATGAAGAGGCTTGCAGACCATTGTGTGTGTGTGTGTGTGTGTGTGTGTGTGTGGATTTTTGATACAAACATGGTAAAACATTTACAGAGACATTTCAGTTGAAATAAATGAGAATATGCGTAGCTCGGGGTGTGGATGCGGATTTTGGGCGGTTCTCCGAGCTGACTGATTATTGTACAGGCGTTTCGTTGCCTGACTAGGCAACATCATCAACATTTCAGTTGATCAGCCAAGCAAACAGGGACTAATGAGTCTCACACAGTGCGTTGAGTAGTTTGAGCGTTTTGAACCGCTGCAGAATGTGGCTCGGTGAATACCCAAGCCTGAACGACACTGCATTGCAACAGACGATGATCACACCGAGAGGGATTGTGTGCGTGACCCGTGGAAATCGTCATTTAATTGTGCGAAGTGGATATCAACTAGGATCATGCCATCCACTTTTAGGTGACAAACATGAGATGCGTCGTGTTAGTGCGCAGTGGGTTGTTGAATCATAAGCATGTGCCGGCTGAGGCAACGCTCATTAACTGCAATTAGCTAGCAAAACATCAAATTCCCACTCTGTTCCATCCATCGTATTATCTGGAAAAAGCCACAGAAGACCTTTCTCTGTTTCCTTTCCTTAAAACCATGCTGAAAGGAGTTAGTTTCCAAAAAAAAACAGAGATATTAAGAACAATGCAAGAAAAGACTTGTCCGCCATCTCACAAAGTCTCTTATAAAAAACCTCACAAAAATGAAAGTATCATTGAGATAAGTACACGGCGTGTAGAGGAAAACACTTTGCAGGGAATAGTGTTTAAAAAGTTGTACAGAAAGAAAGATTTCATAGCAAAAGTTCGCTACATATATATATATATTTATATATATATATATATATATATATATCACCACGTATATATAATCGTGGCCGAGCATATGGTAAGCCGCGGCTTGTAGTGGCTAATTCCTGATTGATGGCCTACCCACTGCTGCTACTGTTGTGCCATGGCCACATGTTATAGACGCCTCCTCGTGGCGAACTCTGGGTGCGAGTTTCGTTGCGCCCTTCTCCTAGCTAAGAGTCAGGACACCAATCCGCATGACTCAGTGAACTGACCATGTGCTAGACCAGATGCCTGTAGGGTGTACATTTATGGGAAGGCTTTGGTTGAGGACCCGAGCCGTTCTCCTGTCAGGTGTGGGCGCCCTGCCATTATCCTAGTCCATCCACTTCGGAGGTTAGGAAGTGGTCGATGGCCCTGTTCCCGTAAAAACTAGACATGGGAGACAAGAGGTCCATGGGTTATAAGCTCACAGCTCAATTGGTGTAGAGCACGAGCGCCACGCATTGTCTCTGACGGTCGGAGGGCACCTCCGGGTGTTCAATGGTTTGATACTGCCCGACTCAAGCCGGGCAGCCCCAGATCAAATTGGTGCAAACCCGCCAAAAGCCTCCTGCCTCTGGCCGTGGTAACAGCTGAGTATCGTACTACGGTCCAAAACACAAATTAATCGCATCAGATCTTCAAAGGCAGTGTGTGATGGACCTCAAAGACATCCCATTGGGTCACTGCATTTAAACTTCCCGGCTGGATCTGCTCCACACTGCCCTTTGGGTCAGGCTATTGAACCAAAGGCTCCAGGTGGAGTCCTTCAAACAAACCTCCAAACCACCCACTGCCTTGTGGGTCAGGCTATTGAGCCAAAGGCTCCGGGCGAAGTACCTCAAACAAACCGAAGCACATCCACCACCGCGCGTTCGATT